TTTCCCTACTTTCCATGTTTTAAAATACATCACAGCTAGGAGGACTCCCTTTGAACAGCCCCTCTGTCACCTCATTCAGATCCCATTCACCTCTCCCAAAAGTCATACCCAGCTCTTAAACACACTTACAATAACAGCAATACTAATAGGTCTGTACAGGACAACTGGCTGGGGAAGTCACTTACCAACCCCACTGACTGGAATCTCAGGGGACAATGGACAAAGAAAGCAGTGGTGACAGCAAAGTATCACATCTCATGCTGCCTACACGCCAGCCTCTCTCCAATTGCCGCCCCGAGCAGTTCTTTCCACTGCCATCCCAGAGCTATGTGTGCATCATGTAACCTCTACCAGCTCTCACCATCCATTCCACCTACTCAGTCTTATTAACCCAATTGCGTCTACAGGAAGCAGAATCCAGAACTGGACCTTCAGTGCTTCTCTTGCAGTCTGTATGCATGAGCTTTTATTCTCCTTAGTTAGAAAGCCAAGAAGACTGTTTTAATTGGATCCAGCAAGCAGTACAATGACACTTGATCAGAAAGGAAGCAGGTGTATATCACACCAACTTTTACAGTTATTCTGCCCCTGGGGCTGCAAACCCATCAAATCACTTACTGGGGCAGAGTGATGCCAGTTCCATGCACTGCACAGTCTGAGCCAAAGTGTATGAACTGAAAAGCCACATTTTGTGCCATCTTGATTGCTACCAATCCCCTCCCTCCCTGCCCAGATGACAACCTACATTCCCTTCTAACATGACCAGTTTAAGTTCAAAGATTTTCAAACCACCCCTGGAAATCCCAATGTATTTGTTTAAGCTTTAGGAAACCAAGAATTGGTCAGGGAGGTAACGTGCAGGCTAAAAACCTCTCCAGCTGCCAGTCCTCTATGTAAGACTCAGTAACTAGCCTTCGTATCAGCATACGGTCTTATTTTTCTTGACTGGCATTCAGCAATGAATCCGTCCAACATGAATCTGGGTGGGTTCCATGACCATGATGGCAAGCAGACTGCATGGGTCCCCACAACCTATGTGCAGAGAAGCAAACACTGATCCGACATACAGGCACCAAACAGTCCAGGTAAGCCAGGGTAGTGGGTGATGAGGTAATTACACCCACACCCCAGAGGACAGGAGCATGTGTATGTAGTGAGAAAGGAAGCAGGTGTACATGATGCCAACTTTTACTGTTACTCTGTCCCTGGAGCCCCGGGGGTAAGGGAGGGGGTTAAGCACTGGTAGGAGGAAAGCATGCAACCCGAAGCATGTCTCCTGCCACAGATCACACGTGTGCAATCTGGTGTGTGATCTCAGGAAGAGTCACCACTGCAATCAGTCAAACAAGCCGCACACCGGCCCTGCTGCTAAGACTTCAACTCGAAGTCACTGTATCTTCTTCTGCCAAGCTTTCCCTAACATTATAATAGAGAAAAAACTGTAAGCCTCCCTTGTTTTACAGAACACGTGTTTTACATTGACTGAAAAGTAAATTTCTGAGAAGCACATTCTGTTTTCCCATTATGTATCCCCAAATCAGAGATCCGTTCCAAAGCCGCAAGAGACTGAATACAAACCTTGCAGCTAAGAAAGCATTACTGATGACCACACTGACACCAGGCGTTCTATCACTGGAAGTGTCACCAGAATCTTCAGCACTTTCCGGGACTTCCTGACTCAGGGACATCACCGACCCTCCTCCTCTCAGCCTGGCCTCGTGGACTCAGCATTCCTACCCTGGGTCTTTCCCAGACGCTCTCACAGCTCGCCTCCTCCCATGTGAGTATTCAGAGCCTGAACACAGTTCGTCTGCAAGTGTATCTTTTGCTTCCTTTTAATCAGGCCTGCAAATTCCTCATATATGAAGCTTCACGTTTTAGGTTTTGCAAAAAGAGAAATTGACCAATTCTACTGATTATCCTTGTTTGTTTACTGACTCAAACTGTAAAAAAAAAAAAAAAAATTATGAGACAAGTACATTTGAGCAATGGCTAGATATCTGGTGACTATCTGGTGGTATTAAAGAACTACTATTAATTTTTTTAGGTATGATAATAGTATTGTAGTTATATATATATATATATATATATATATTTTTTTTTTTTTTGGCTGCATTGGGTCTTCGTTGCTGTGCGTGGGCTTACTCTAGTTGCGGTGCTACTCTTTGCTGCAGTGTGCGGGCTTCTCATTGCGGTGGCTTCTCTTGTTGCGGAGCACGGGCTCTAGGTGCGCAGGCTTCAGTAGTTGTGGTACGTGGGCACAGTAGTTGTGGCGCATGGGCTTAGTTGCTCCGCGGCATGTGGGATCTTCCCAGACCAGGGCTCGAACCCGTGTCCCCTGCACTGGCAAGCGGATTAACCACTGCGCCATCAGGGAAGTCCCTGTAGTTACATTTTTTAAAAAGCTCTTATGCAGAGCCTCAAATGAAATGTTTACAAATGTAATGATATAACATCTGGGATTTGCTTCTAGATAATCTAGTGAGGAGTAGGTAGGAATACAGATAAATCAAGTTGATGATATCACAGCTGGACAGTGGGTATGTGGGGCTCACTGTACTAGTTTCTCTTCTTTTATATAAGTTTAAATGTTTCCGTAAGAAGTTTAAATAAATATACACCCATATGAGAGCAGAAATTTGTGAGAGATACATGCAAAGAAAGGATAACAAAAATCTAAGGTAGTAATAAAATTACAGAATGTGTCTGAGAAAACAAAGATCAGTAAAGTCAGACATTGAAGAGGTATAATTTGCTGTCATTTGACTTAAAATAAAATGGGTATGTGAATATATACATATGTGTGTTTGACTATAAATCCATCAAATAAAGATTCGAAAAATACAGAGTGTTTGATAACAGTGATTACCTCTCAGTAAGAGAGTAAAAAGAGAGCAGGATTTGAAAGCTTACTTTTACATTTTACTCTTTGTACCCTTGCATATTGTTCCAATCTTGTACCAAGAAGGTATATGTGTATCATGCATAGGATTTTTAAAATCTGAAAGAGAAAAACAGATTCAAACAGCATAAAAGATGTATTTTCTGAGCTGACGTTTGCTTCAGTCCTGGTCCTTGCATTTCCCTGAGTCAAGTAATTCTTAAATAATCACACCTAGGACTTTAGATTTCAGGGGAATCTTAGAAACAGTCTAATCTAGCCTGTCTGTTTTCTAATTTCTGAATAATCAGATGTGCAGCTCCTGCT